TGGTGATTTATTTTTATATATATATATATATATATATATATATATATATATATATATATATTTTCAACCGCTTAGTTTTATTTGTCGACGTTATTATTTTTTTCTGACGATGTGTCGGCCGAAAGGTATCGAAAATTTTAATTGTGGTACTTTTGTATTCTTTTTTATGAATAAATAATGATCCCTTTTTTAAAGATCATTTTATCCTGGTATGGCAATAATAATCAGTTTTTATATATATATATATATATATATATATATATATATATATTGTCATTCACAGGCAGACTGTTTTGCAGCTCATCAATGTATCTAAACACCCGATTGACTCAAGCCGGGATCGAAACCCGACTGATTTTGTAGCACTCCGAGACTCTACCCCTAAGCCACTGGTGCACAGAAAGGTTGAAGGTGAATTTTGACGTATTTATTTTTAGATAAACATGCCAGTGCCTGGGAGAACTCGATTCGTCTAACGGAGAGTCTTGCATCATCAGCAGTAACTGATTATAAATTCACTTTTCTCCTCGAAAGCTCAACCGAAATAATTTTTTTTCAGGACCATGTATATATTGCCATCTACAGACAGGCTGTTTCACTGTTTCACACCACATCAGTGTGGCTAGATATCCGATTGCCTCAAGCCGGCAGATATATATTTAAGCGTGTTTTTAAAAATCAGCATAAAAAAGGAACGCAAATTTTATAGAAGTTACAGTAAGCTTCACTTTGAAATTTACCCCTGAAGATGACCTCGGAGAACATCGAAATTACTTGGGTAAGAAAAAACTACGGCGTCTTTCTTGTTGAATTTCAGCTTAACATCAAGAAACTGATTAGAGAAGTAGAAAGGATCATTATCAAATTAAATAGATATTATATGTCTTTATTATTCAATGAAACATGTTTGGATGGAGTTATGCTGGCTATATATATATATATATATATATATGTGTGTGTGTGTGTAAAAATATATAGAAAATAGGAAAGAACTCGTTAGGTAAATAATCCAAAGTTCTTTAGTATTTTCGTTATTATTCTAAAAAATTAGTGCTCGATACAAAAGTAGAGCATAAATATAATTATTTATTTAAAAATATGATTCCAACGCTACATAAGAGTTCTCATGTTTCAAAACAAGAGCCGAAAACCTCAATATAATTATTTGAATTAAATTGAATTAAAATACCATGCTCTGTTCCATCTTCAAGCGAAATTTTTTTGGAATAACTTATTCCTGAAATTTACGCGTTTTATAAGCATATTCATTATTGAAATTAAAATTACTATGGAAACGGCTAGAGCAATTGTTTAAAGAAAAGTGGCGTAAGGGTTAATAATTTGTATCAATAAAAGGGCCAGACACTAATATTCCATGGTTATGTTTTTGAATTTGTAGGTCTGATGATTTGGATCGTGATTACAATTCCAATGTAATAAATTATAACTATTAGTGTTTGAGCTTTTTATATTATATTATATTCTTACTCTGTCCTGGACATTGAATTCTACCTGGATTCTATCCCTTGGGAATTTATATATATATATATATATATATATATATATATATATATATATATTATCTCTATTCTCTCTCTCTCTATATATATATATATATATATATATATAGAGAGAGAGAGAGAGAGAGAGAGACAGACAGACAGACAGACAGACAGAGAGAGAGAAAGACACTTGAACGTGCGAATATTGTTATGGAGAGCTGCTTGTAATATGAGCCAAATTCAAGTCGATTTTTAAAACTACGTTTAATGCAAATATCATTGGAAAACATATGAATACATTTCTTCGTTTTCTCCGAGCTATAGATTAAATAGTTGGGCAAACTGGTTTCCTTTGCTTAAGTATATATATATATATATATATATATATATATATATACGCATCAACATGGTAATTTCCTTTTTTTTCTCGAAAGTACTTGGATTAAAAAAACAGCAACTACGGTGCCTTCCTTATGAACTCCACCAAGAAACTGATTTGATAACTGTAAAGGATTATTATAAAAATAAGTAGACACAATATGTCCATAGTATTCAGTGAAACATGTTTGAATATATATATATATATATATATATATATATATATATATATATATATTGAGAGAGAGAGAGAGAGAGAGAGAGAGAGAGAGAGAGATCTTGTTTGTGTTGTCCCTGCTTTCAGAAACGTATCTCCCGAGGGAAACAAATCATTACTTACCACTTCAAGCTGAGCCAGATAGAAACTTTGGTTGCGTTTGCTCCCTTTTTTATGGAAGAGCGTACATTGCTGTTGAACCAGAAGTTCTCTAAGATTGGACTATTTGCCAAGAGGAGTCGCAGTGTGTAAACAGAACGTACGCAAGTCGGTACCCGATCAGTATCGACTGGGTCACCGTGTAGAGGATGGTATGATGTTGAAAGACCCGAATCCCCTAATGAACCTCGACTAGAAACATCACTGATGGTGTGTACTAAAGAATCCAATAGATGTATTTTACGAAAGAGAAAACTTTTCTATTTCTTCTGGTATGTAATTTTACAAAACACATCGCCATAGGGAGATAAACTTTTTAATTATTTTATATTTTATAATCTTTAATCAGAAGTTACAAAAATGATTTACTCTCACCTTGTCAGTGGATAAAAAATGGCGAATTTGTACAAGATTTTGACCCGGTTATCTGGAGCTTTAAATTTAATCGTAAAATTAATGAGCAAAATTGCAGTAGTATTATAGTGGGTTATCAGTAGTAGTGTATGTGTTGAAACAGATTAATTTGATTTGGCTTTGTTAGTTAGATAGCCCACCATAAGAGGGGTATAAAACAAGACGACGAATTTATATACATATAAATCAATTAAGGTCTTTACAAATAAAATTAATATATTTTGGTCGTTAAAATGTTCGTAGTAGTCCTTGCACGAATAAGTTTATGTGTACGTAGGTAGGAACGTAAGTGTGGATGTATGAGCGTTATCGTAGGGTAGGAATGTTTTTGAAGTAATCGCTCAGTCTTAAAATGTTCCGTTCGTTTATCAAGTATAAAAGAAGTGAGGGAGAAAGGTAGAGATAATAATAACGCTCGCTTGACGTTTGTCAAGGGACGTGTTAATACGCTCGTCTCCTTCTCTCTGGTGACAGGCAAACTTTCTCGTCTTTTATTTTGTTTGTGGGGCTTGAAAAGGTCATTTGGGAATTCACTCCCGGATATGATTCCATTTCCATTAGACGACGAACAAACTTCGCGTCGGCTCGCGAAAAGGTCCGTAAAAGAATTTGTTTCTGAGAATTGAAGATTATTTGAATTCTGTTTTCAAATGTTTCCTAGTTTTCTTTTGGCCGAAAAACATTTCCCATCAAAGTGTGAAATTTCACGAGTTTTGTTTTGGATTCGCTTTTGCGTTTGTGTTAAGCAAAGTTTTTAAATTCGAGTCTTTTAATTTCTAACAAAATCAATGAGTCAGTGCTTAGCATTTTAAATCTAGATCTTGTTTTGTTCAGTACAGTATAAATTAAACTCGCATTAGGTAGTTTGTTTACTTGAGTGGTCATAACTGCTTGTGGTCTTGGAATATGTCCCCAGCGGTTAAGGCATTTAATTATAAAAATTATCCCTTGATACGTTCCGTTATATATGATTGTGCGATGAATTGTATGCAACCCTGCGTACACATTGGACCAAATTCTTGATTAGCTTTAAGTGATTTGACAAGTGTGAAAATCTAATCTAAGGTCTCTATGCTCTTTTGTATAGCTCGAGTAGACAGCAATTAGGTTTGCACTCAAACTGCCAGTGAAAAAAAACTCTAATGTCAATTAAGAAATAAACGACAATTATTTCTCGGCATTTGTCATATAGAGGCATTAGCGCACTTTGTCACTCACAATCAAAGTTTGTCTTATGATTCCTTAAGCAACAGTTTGCCCGATTTCTCATTAGAAATACGTAAATTCATATCTAATTTAGGACGGATCTGTTCTTAATAAAATAACAGGGAGATAATGAAGTGAAGTTGCCTATGTTCCCATGTAGGAAACCGGAAAAAGAATCACAGTTCATTTACGAATGGATTACTTTATTACTTACACTCTGCGAATTTCTGAGAACTTTTATAATAATGCATTAATCTATTTGTAATAGTCCCCTCCTCTTACGTGTTATAGCAACAACGTTTCAGTCATTATAGCCTTCATCAGTTGCTTTTCGTATTCGCTAACCTGTTTTGTGTTTTTTGAAGTGTGAAAGTTTCTCTTTTTTTAAATCAATTCACTCCAAGCAAGACGATAATGCCAGTAAGAGGCAAGAGGGTCACTCTGAGTGAAAGTGAATGGAAAAAATTTAGAAGGAACCAGAAACCCAATCTTCATTAATAATCGTTTCATATATATATATATATATATATATATATATATATATATATATATATATATATATATATATATATATATATATGTGTGTGTGTGTGTGTGTGTGTGTGTGTATAGGTACATACATACATATAACAATGACCCACCGGCTCGAGAACTTTCCCTTTCACCAGAACACATAACTTTTAAAAAATAATTTCACCCCAAGCAAGGCGATAATGCCACTAAGACTCAAGGGATTACTGGCAGTGAAAGACAATGAAAATAATTTAGAAGAAACCGGAAACCCAATCCTAAAAAGGGAATCTACTCCTGTTCAAATGTACGGGGAGGGGTGCGAAACGGACGATAGGCGAACTTATTTACCTTGTTTCTTACGGTTTATCAATCTTTAGCAGGTTATTTAAAGCCAGAAAATATTTTAGATCATAAGAATCTTTTGGAGATAATAATGATTTATTTATACGTCCTAATAATTAACCCATAGCTGGGGGGAGAAGAGGTGGATTCATACCTTTCCCAAGGGTATTTGCGCGTAAGTGAATATAACACACTCGACTGGAATTGGAACTCGGATCCCCGATTTCAAATTCCGAACCGTTATTCTTAACACTCCCCGTGCATATAAGCTTGCAGCACCTGGTATTCTCCAGCGGTCGCCCAGATAGATACTGACCAGGATCGACGACTTTGCTTAACTTCGGTGATCGGACGTGAACCGGTGTTTTAACGTGATATGGGATTAAGCCTCGGTAACCTGGAAAGAATTAGCAGATACGATATGTTACTTAGCAATGACAATCGAATGACATGAAGTATTCAATAAAAGTTTCAAATATCCGGATAGTTAACAAATATGACAAATACCCCAAAATGTGAAAAATACCTAAAAATATGACAAATACCCAAAAATGTGACAAAATACCAAAACAATATGACAAATACCTAAAAAAAATATGATAAATACCTAAAAAATATGAGAAATGCCTAAGAAAAAAATGTCCAGGGAATGCAATAGTCAAAATGGTGTCACTCTAATCAACTAGTTCAATTAGATTAATGTATAATACTTACATTCTATTTTTGACATTAGTTTTTTTTTTAAATTTCTTCCGTAATTATTTGCACTAATTGAGTCTTTACAACTTAGTAAATAATGTTTTTCACTAAAGATCAAATGACAGCAAGTCTCACTGATTTGCGTAATGCTCTTTGATGCTTTCAAGTCTTCCTTGGATTTATATAAATTGGCCATGGTTAAATGTATTTGGCAGAAGTTTTCTAACTACAGAATTGACAAAATTTGCAATAAACAACACCAAAGAAAGAAAAGAACAGGGCAAAAGCAATACGAAGCAAACAATTTTAAAGCAAACAATTAACAAACTAAGAATGGTGTTAACACACAAAAAGGCTACAGACAAATAATCACAGCGTTCTGACTTCAAAACAAAAAAGAACAGAAATATGGCAGAAGTTGCCTATGTTATTGGCTAGAAAGAAATCCCAGCATGCATCTGTATGTTTTATCTCAAAATTTGGGGAGGGGGTTGTTTTTGAAGTCATTCCCATAGATTCGAACTAACAATTTATATTTAGTATTTGTCTATATTTCGGAGATGAGTTATTATGTACACTATTTACATTATTCGGAATATTGTCCTCATCTTTGTCGCCATGTTTATTACAACGTTTCGGCCGTTGTACGTCCCGGCCTTCTTCAGGTGGTTGGAATGTCGAACTTTATATTTATATTTTTCCAGCCTATTCGGAAGCTGTTTGGTACTGTTTTAAGAGCTCCAACAATGATAGGCACGACTGTTCCCTCCATGTTCCATAATTTGTGCAGATTTCTTTTAAATCACACGATTTGAATTCAGACTTTTTCTTCACTTTGAGTGATGGATATCCTTACAGTGCCCAGTCTACCCTACTATTTAACCTGTAGGAAAAAGAGATGTGTTCATGACAAGATCATTTGTAGAAAGTGAAAACAACAGACTAGGAAATTTAAATTTATGCGCCGATAACCGTTATGCTACCCACAAATCCCAAGCAGTCTTTCTTAAATGGGGACATATTTGAGTCAGCCCTTCTCTTTCATTCCGTGAATTTAAATGAGCAGAAATATTTTCTGCAGTGTAGTATATGACTCAGCTCAGGTGATACCAAAATGGCGCTTGGTCTCCATCAGAGAAGTCAGGTGCATCAGGGGGTTGGCTTGAAAGATATTATCCCAAACACTTATTTCCTGTTCGGCATATTTTATTTAATTTTATTTAATGTTGAATGTATAGGATTAGATATATTGCGAGGAACCCTTTTCCACTTGTTAAAAATATCAAGTCTTGTTGGGTTATCTAATGTTAAATCTTGCATAGGGGTGGGGCCAGTGAAATCGAAAGTGAGCCAAACTATCACCAAACAATCTTCGCTTGCCATTAACCCACGACATGTATTTTTTATCCGTAATCCAATATTATTTCTTATTGCTATATATACGTTATATTTTTTTAGTGGATACACGTGTTAGAATAGAAGTCTGTTTTTTATTATCTCTATTAAAGACTCTAAAAAACAAGTCGGTAGACAAAAAATATACCTTCTAATCAAGTACGTGTATCCACTAGATATAACCTAATATAACTTAATATTTTCTTCTTAACTGAAACTTCCCAACATCTCTCGCCCGTGCACATGTGTAGTCACACCAACGTGAACAAGCCGAGTCCGATATAGTCCTAAGGGACGAAATGCGTCACACGAAATCTTTTTCCACTTTCTCATACATCTTTCCGCTTAAAGTGTTCGTGATATATACAAATTTATATATACAAATATATATATATATATATATATATATATATATATATATATATATATATATATATATATATATATATAATTATTTATTTAAAATATGATTCTTTCGCTACATAAATAATTATATTTAGGCTCTACTTTTGTATCAAGCATTGTTTTTTAAAAATAAAAATACGAAAGAACTTTGGATTGTTTACCTAACGAGTTCTTTACTATTTTCTATATATTTCCACACACACACACACACACACACACACACACACACACACACACACACACACACACATATATATAAAGGCTCAAATATGGTTATAATTTATTACATTGGAATCGTAATCACGATCCAATTCATCAAACCTACATATTCAAAAAGAAATCGGAAAATATAACTCCGGGTATAAAAAACAAAATTATATATATATATGGATAAAAATATCGCACATTGAGTGTTGGTTTTAATAAAATAGTACACGATGTATAATAAGAGAGCTATAATTTATATTATTAATAAATATAGATTCTTTTTTCTCACAGGTAGCACTCGATCACAGGAGACGGTATCTTGAGATGCATATGATATAATCTGTATTATATAATATCATTATTTCATAATATCATTATATCATAATATATAATGTGATATAATTACTGTACTCTCATATTATATCAGTATTAAAGATGTAAAAAAGAAAAAAATAACTTAAAAATAATTAAATACAATACAATAAATAAATAAATCGCATTCTTTGTTGCGCGGCCTCGTTCCCAATGGCCGTTATGTATGACGTCACGCTAGACCATTTGAAACGCCCAGCTTCACAAAGAATACCAGGATGTAGAGAAAAATTTATAACTACCGCACAAATACGGAATTGGTTCTTAATAACGATTGCAATAGTTTAAAGAATTGGAACAAAAATAACAAAATATGAACTTGGAACACTTTATCCACAACTTCCGGCACAAACTCAAAACTTATCGGAAAACAGGAAAATATAATAAAAAATTAAGCAGACAGGCCTTGGCGGTTCTTTTTAATCAGACCTTTTTCACACACACACACACACACACACACACACACATATATATATATATATATATACACACATATATGCGTGTGTACGAGTAGTTTAAAAGTTGCTTATGTAATATACATTGTGAACATGGAAAATAAATTAAGGTAACTTTCACTTTTACTTTCAGGCCTAAAGCAATCGTTAGTTCATGGTCACTATTTTTCTCTATACTTCTCTATATATAGGTCACTGGGGGGGGGTAACCTGAGTGGAATAATGAGGAAACAGCTCGTTACCATTTTTTAGAGCTAATGCTTTAGCTTATTTATAGTAATGGCCATTATTGACTTATTTACCTTTATAAATTTATTATTTTATTTAGTTTTATATTTCATTTTTTAAAATATTTTCTTCGATTCTAAATTTGGGGATTTGAAATAATGTTTATTAGATGTAGGTTATCGGATTTTATTTAGTCTTTCGAGTCAGGAAGTGGTTGTAGGTAGCGTAGCAGGAATTTAAAAGAACTAGAAAGGGTCAGTTCCATCCTTCCACCACTTTCCTTTAATCTCTCAGTGGCCTATAAAATAGAACCCTCGAAAGGACTAGTGACGCATAATCTAAACTGAAAGTCGCTATGCAGTGCTTGTTCCTATGTTCACAATCTATCTATCTATCTATCTATCTATCTATCTATCTATCTATCTATCTATCAAGTTGTGTGTGTGTCTCCGTCCGTGTAACACCTTTTAATGTTACCAGAAGTGTACATCTACATGGAGACAAACTGTGTTTGTACTGGACCTTTTCTGGTTATGTAGAAGTGAGGCAATTTTGCGTTTTGCTATATTTGATAAATAAGCAATTCATTTATATCTATGTGTCGTATCTCCTGAGAACTTGGAAATAAAATTTAATTTATGGCTTAATTATATGAAAAAAAGCTCGTCAATTGAAACCAAAGTCAGGAGGATATGGGTAAAACAAACGGGGAAATCGAACTATAATAATAATAATAATAATAATAATAATAAAAATCGAACTATAATAATAATAGTTTAATAATATACAATGGAAAGTAAGATACAGAAATTGCGGAAGAAAAGCGAAAGATACTATTGAGAAAATGAGTAACGAACTAAGTGATCGAAAAATAACATTAGAAACAAAGAAAAGATGTAAAAAAAACAGGATTGTTATGTGGATATCGGCTCTGAATGAGAAATCGGAGTTCGAATTCCAGTCGAGTTCGTTACATTCGCTTACGCACAAATACTCTTGGGAAAGGTATGAATCCATTTCGTCTCCCCTCGGCTATGGGTTGGATAGCAGGACAGAGTGGATTTTTAGCCTTGGGAAGCAACTTTCTACCACAGAAAGAAATGGCAACCCACTGCGGAAAAATCTTCTGCCTAGTCAGCCATGTATTGAAAAACACGTGATCGCCCAAGCGTGTACCACCTATGGTACTTAACCCTTCTATATTATAATTAAAATATGATATGATCCGATCAATTTTGTCGCCAATAAAACAGCCGAGTAGTGGATCTACTGACAAATATTTCAATTATTATGGACTGAACATATGACAAATAAGGAAGTTATTGATAGCAGGTTAAGCATAAAAACTGAAAGAACAGGTAGTCAAGGAAAGCAAGAAGAAAGGACTAACTATAGCAATGAATAAAAGGCACAGACTAACATATGAATTATATATCGAGAAGAATAGAATTAATATGTAAAATGACGCCTTCTTTTTTCATATATTACGAGCATTTGACTTAAAGTTCGTATTTTCTTGATTTCAAATAAAAACATAAAAATATTCCAAAGTACTTGAATGAAATTTTCACTTTCCAAACCGTAGTTTGTAATTGTAGCTTAATTATATAAAAAAGGTCGTCAGTTTAAACCGACGTCAGGGGTATCTGGTGGGGGGCGGGGGTGAAGAAGAGTGGAAATTCAACTATAATAATAGTGCAATAACATACAAAGGAAAATAAGACACAGAAAATTGACGGCGCGGAAGAAGAGCTAAAGACACTTTGGAGAAAATAAGTAACATATTCTTCTTGTTCTTGTTCTCCTTATTCTATGCTCTTCAGGACGTTGGCGATCATGGCTCTCCACAATTTCCTGTCTTTGGTACCTCTTAAATATTTTCTTTTTTCTATCTCCTTTCTGCCATCCATTCGCTCAAGCTCGACAGGTAGGTTGTGTGTTGATTTCCATTGACCCTTTTACCTTCAATCTGTTTTGTGGTTATCAAATTTTCCAAGCCCTCTTCACTTTCCAAAATTGTAGTTTATAATTATAGCGTAATTAAGAGTAACGTATTAAGCATTCGAAAAATAACATTAGAAACAAAGAAAAGAGTGCTGGACTGATAATAAAAAACACACCTATAAGTTGAATTCATTTATTATGAAAAAATTTAACCAAAATTCTTTATTAGTTTTCCGTTACAAGTTTAATAATCAGGTAGCATTGAAAATGGAAGAAATATTTCATAAGTACAAAGCAATTGGAAAATACAAGGAAATATTTCTGTCATTTTTTTAGCAGCATGGTTAAACGATTTCTGTTTATATATTTACTCTCCAGGTAGTAATTTCTATGGTCGCTGATCTCCCTGAAGGCTTCCATTGCAGCTGCCTAATTGTACATGCACTCATTATTCAAATGTTTTTTTCCAAGAGAATGGTCTCAGCAATATGGTGAATGGAGATAGATTCCTCGTTCGTTTTGTTGCCAGAACCACAATATTTGTCCCCAACACTCACAGGAACGAAAATTACCATAAAGAAGAAAATATTATTTTCGGTTGTATTTTATGATAATAATTCATATATTTTATATCGTATTTATTTTCTAAAAACCCAAACACAAAGCTGTACTTTTGCATATCGACGTCCTTCAGGCATCCTTAAAAGACTAGTTGCCGGGCTATTTTTGTGCTTGGTTCTATGTACACATAAGAACACAGCTTTGAACACATCCTTGTGCCACATTCCGTTCGCGTTGGCATTTGGTTACATATTATCATTCCTAGATTTCTGTTTTTGATCAAGATAGATTACTTAAATACCAACAAACTAGTAATTTGGACATCTAAATTAAATCACTTAAATATCAACAAACCAGTAATTCAGACATGTAGATTAAATCATTTAAATATCAACAAACCAGTAATTCGGACATTTAAATTAAATCATTTAAATATCAACAAACCAGTAATTCAGACATTTACATTAAATCATCTAAATATCAACAAACCAGTAATTCAGACATTTAAATCAAATCATTTAAATATCAATAAAACCAGTAATTCAGACATTTAAATTAAATCATTTAAATATCAACAAACCAGTAATTCAGACATTTAAATTAAAAATAGTACAAAGTATTAGAATAGTAAATAGACTTTTCCTTATTAGGATAAATGGGCGTGTGGTAGAGTTGAGCATTTCGGTTCCGACAACGAGGCGATTGTTTGATCGTAATAATGTACAATGAATAATCGATTCTACCATGGACTGAACAATTGTGTTGATGGAACTGTTCGGATGCTGAGGACGTGACCGAAGGTTTGAGAGTACTGGTCTTGTTCAAACTGGTGATCACGCCAGATTATGCGTTCTCTCTCAGAAACAGTATAGTTGTAATAATCCTTTAATGCACCGGCTAGTTTCACACGCTGACAATCCGGGATCACCTGAATGCTCTCACAATCAGGTAGCACTCTATTCCAATCCCAGGCATTAACATACGTCACATAATCAAATAGAAGCGCCGGAAATCTGCAGTTTTGTAAAACTTCTACGTTTCCAAAATTATATCTCATAACCAAGGAGACTTGAAAGAGAAGTCAATTTGCTTTCATGTATAATCAACTTGTAATATCAATTTAATTGCATTAACATCACAGGCATTTTTAACGACACGGTTAGGACTCCAGGGATTTAACAATTGAAATCTCTTAAGGGCTGTTAGGGTTATACTACCTGGTAATCTTATAACACATTTTGGATCAGTGGTTATTGAAGAAACACAAATATGCCTGAGTAGGTATCTGCAACAGGGATTAGTTAGTCAGCCTTGTAGACAGGGGAGTCTCCCAGGTGTGACAGATGCCTGATATCTACATTTTAAATGACGTTTGATCAAATCTTTGCCATTAAAGAATTTTGCATATCATAGTTCTGTGGAAATGATGAGACAAAGAGGAAAAATTTATTAACGAAGCGCTTCGACGACGTCTGTTGTTCTCGGCTTCTTCAGGTCAGAATGAAAGGCAAAACTGTGTGTAAGGAAAATGCGTTAGGATTTTTAAGGATAAGAGGGGCAATAAATTCCATTACCTTATCAGATCCGACGACCAAAGACCATAAAGTGTTTCTTTGTTATTATATATATATATATATATATATATATATATATATATATATATATATATATATAGAGAGAGAGAGAGAGAGAGAGAGAGAGGGAGGAGAGAGCATAGCATAGCTAAAAAAAAGATACCGTGAAGAAGATTTTCCATAACATCAAGATAATTTCAAACTCAAGTTTTTGTGTGTGACGTTCCATCTGAACCTCTGCAGTCACGCTACCAATTGTGAAAGTTTCCTTCATCCATTTTACGAATCAAAGTATTTAGCATGTTTTGTACAATAGGGATTTTGCTTCTTGATATTGTACCTGGTTGAATTTTATAATTGATTTATATATGAGATACACACACACACACACACACACACACACACACACACACACACACACACACACACACACACACAAATACACACACACATACACACACACACACACACACACACACACACATATATATATATATATATATATCACCTGAACAAAACAATCAAATTAATTACCTACTAGAAAAATTTAACAGTGTTCCTGATCAAGTCGAATTCATAAATAATTACCCCCGTCACACAACTACATAACTAACCAGGCACCTTACGATACACCTTCTCTGACCACAGCTCTATTAGAATCCATTTAAACGCACACACAAGCATATCAGACTCCGAAACATACTAGAAGAAAATACAAACATAATAACCTCATCCACATGTAAAAAAAGATTCAAAATAATGGAAGCCTAAATAATAAAGAAGAAAAAGCCAAAACTTAACAATATTAACTAGGAACACGGCCGAAATATTCTGTGTTCGGAAAATAAAACATCTCTATAACACTAAAACATACACACAACTCACACACCCAATTAAATTGAAAAAATAAAATCATCGTTAATAATAGCTAAAAATATAGCCGAAAGGGCTCGGAATTATGGAACATTTAGACAGATTCTACACACTCTGTAACCAAAAAAGAAAACACTTGCTCGAACACAAGGAAAATTAAATTAAAAACTTAATCGTAGTACCTTGTCTGACGTCTTCAATGAAACATGTATAAATGAAGGATTGCTACCTAAATACAAAACTTTATATATATATATATATATATATATATATATATATATATATATATATATATAAGATAGGTAATCGGTCCGTTGGTATATAATAACCACTGGATCCTAGTAATATTAATTATTAAAATGATCCACAGAGAACACGTTATTTTTATTTTAACAGAGCATATGTATTTGCATGAAGAACGGTTTGAAATCGACTATACCTATGTTGTAAATTTTGTTTTTTGTTGTATATATATATATATATATATATATATATATATATATAGATAGATAGATAGATAGATAGATAGATAATATTAGTGGAAAATATACATACATATGCAAAATATATAAATACCCATACATGTATATTTTCAGAAAAAATTTTTTTTTCCGGAGTTGGGTTTTTTCTGTTTTCTTTTTGAATTTGTAGGTCTGATGAATTGATTGTATTTACGATTCCAATGGAATAAATTATGACCATGGAATATTAGTGTTTAAGCCTTTTTATTATATATATATATATATATATATATATATATATATATATATATATATATATATATATATAGATATTTTAGAGCCAAAAATAGTGTCTAAATTTTGGATTATAGTTGATTTAAAAATGTCTTATTAACGTCATTTTACTGCGTTATTCATTACAGAATAATAATCGTTTAGATGATCACTTGGATTATAGAAAATTGTTTACTGCGTTATTCATATAATTAATCGTTTAAATGATCACATAGAAAATTGTAATTTTTTTAAATTAATCATAAATTGTTTTTTATTTTCATATTTTATTTTCCGCCCAACCCACAAATAATGGCCTTTTTCCGTTTGAATCGCAAGGAAAGCCGAAAAAGACATATCAGAGCCACGGTTTGGTTTCAAAGAAAGAAAGAGCAAACAAACTAAAGAAAGAGAAATAGAAGAGACAATAACGCTCTCATACGTTTAACGTCTGCTTTAGTAAAATGGAAATCCTTGTCAATTTGAAATCTTTTCATTTTTATCCGATTACTTCTTTAAATAATGGCTGGCGTAATACTTCTTCTTTTATGTGCCGTGACCCTTCAGGACGTAGGTGATCATGACCATCCACATCTTCCTGTCTCTCGTAGCACTTAATAAGTTTTGTCTTTTTGCTATTTCTTCCAAACCATGTTCTACCATCCATTTACCCAACTCATCAAGTATGTTACACGTTGCTTTTCTCTGTCCTTCTTTCCGCCAATCTTTCCTGTGAGTATCAGATTTTCCAAGCCCTCCTTCCTCATTATACGTGCTCCAGAAATTACAACTGCCTCTTCCTGATGTTATGTATAAGTTTCCTTTTTGTTTCCATTTTCTCTAAAACCTCGTCGTTGCTCACATGTTCGGCCCATGGTATCCTTAGCATCTTTCTGTAGAACCACATTCTGTTGCTTCAAGTCTTTTCTTCATCTTTTAGGAGATTGTCCAGTATTCGCTGGTCCAACTAGTAATAAATAATCTAGGTGCCTTCATGAGATTGCTAAAAAAGAGCACAGTCTGATGATAAAGACGCCAAACTTGACGAAAACAAAATTTTATCGTCTAAATGTTTATGTTATTATTAAGAGGAAAGACCGAAGTACTTTTTAATTATTTTAAAAATTTTTTCCTTCTTTTTAGAACATATTAAATTTTGATTAAAAAATGACTCGTTTCTCTTTGTATCACCGGATATAGTAAAATAACAAATTTTTAGCACGTATTTTTTTTTTTGTACGACAGACATTAATTTCGAAAATCTTGCAAAAATAAAAATAATTGTCGGATGTTAATGAAACTTTCAGAAACTATTCACAAATGATGAAGATTATTATAAATGTTTTCTTTTTTTAAAGTCTGGCAAAAATATTTTTTTATATTTATTACGCACCCCATAACTAATTTTATGAAAAATTCAATCGTATTCAGTTTAGTGATTATAATAGTTAAAAGCATAAGTCTTTGAGGAAAGCAAATCATGTATTATTTTCTTAATTAGACCCCCCTACCAGAAAATCAGCACTGAATTGTAACATACGAAACTCAATAGAACAAAGATATTATTTAATTTCAAATGCTTTTATTTGCTTTTAGTTGTTTTTATGAATATGGACAATATTTTCTGGAAGCAAAAAGTTTTTTCAGTGAACAATGAATTTTTAATACAATTATGTGTTCTTTCTTTCTTTCTTTTTTAGATTTTTACATTTAAGTTGTTAAAATATTATAAAATTAGTTGAAAGCCGCATTCAGTTTCGTAAATGTCCTTATGAGATAGATCATTTTTTAGCGCATTGTGAGTTGTATAATTTCGACCAATCAGAAGACCCGCAGTAATTAAGAAATGTAATTTTGTGTTTATAATACGGCTGTAATTATGAAGTACGGAAATCCAGCAAGAATACAATTAAGTTGCGTTATTTGAGTTAAGCATTGTTCTCCGCTGTTAAGGCTTTTATTTTTTCGAAACACGCGTGGAGAAGTTAATTTGATTTTTCATTTTCAACTGAGAAGGGTACCTACAAGTATTAGTATCATCTTATGAAATTTGTATGATCTTATTTTTATATTAATCTCAGTTATGACATTTTTCCATAAATGAAATATCAAAATTAATAATAAAATGAATGGAAATACAAATAACAGTAACATATAGTAAATGTACATAAAATTATAGTATTTTATGTACACTTCTGATAAAATTTTATAAGAAAAGTACCTATAAATTAATTAGATACCTTTCTTATGAAATTTAATCTCACTCTCAACAGTCTTATTTTAATTTCTTTATAATATATCTTCCATAAAGCATCGTAAACGTAAAGGTGAAAGCTAAGTACAAAAAAAGAAAAAGAAAAAAGAAGACAAATTAGTGCGCTGAAAGTTTTCCTTAAAAATAACGAGGTAAATAACTTGTTCACTTAAATCTAAATAATTATATCACATTTGTCCTACCGTACGGTAAGTTTTCCCCACGTAAACTGTTAATACGTGATGAAATCATCAACCACCACCTGTCAAGTGACGCGAAATGTTATGACCTGCTTTGTTTTATTTTTAAAATACTTCCTTTCGACGCAGAAACTAAGTAATGCTTGTTTCAAAATATTTTAAATAAACATTATAATTTTTAATTTTCTTAATTATAATTGATTTTTAAAAGAATATGAAACTGAGATTTTCATTTTTTTTTATAAAATGGAAAAAAAGGTTGACATGATTATCTGTCAATTTTGCTGACTCAAAAAAAAAAAAAATTTTTAACGAAAATTTCGAACGTGCTAGGAACGATTAAAAATGTAAAAAAATACCTCCCAAATACTTTGATTTTTCCTTTTAATAATAACATAAACATTTAGACGACAAAATTTTGTTTTCGTCAAGTTTGAAGTCTTTTTCATCATGCAATGCTCTTTTTTAACGATCTCATGAAGGTACCTAAAATAATCCGTTAAAGCAAATCCTTGCAAATCTCAGTAATCAGTATGCAGATTTTTGTGATAAAATTATCACCTATTATAAAATATCAATGCTCCCGTACCGTTAGTATGAAATTGTTCTTTTTTTTTAATCAGTTCACCCTAAGCAAGGCGATAATGTCACTATGATGCAATAGGCTACTGGCAGAGAAAGAAAAGGAAAAAAAACTTTAGAATGACCCGGAAGCTCAAACAGGAAACAAGAAATAAACCTCTACTCCTGTCTAAGTCTGTGAACCGGGCGATAAGCGAACTTATTTACTCCTATTGAGGAATAAAATAATAAATAAAATTTCAGAGTTTAGAAGTAAAGAGCTGAAGCAGACTTCAGAAAGAAGCAGAAACGCAATCCTAAACAGGAAACAAAAAATAAATCTCAACAGGTACGAATATATATTTTTAAATGTAGATCTTAAAATGCTGACTCTACTCATGCCACACATTTTAAAAATAATACTACTGAAAATATGAATCCTAGTAGGTTTATTCTGTGTCAAGAGATAAACGGTCTGGGAACGAGAAATTCCTTCAAACGACGTCTTCGATCCCATCCATGCTTGACTAAAAGCCGACGCCATTTTTTTTTTTTTTACACAATAACAGCTTTCGTTGTTGTCGTCTTCATCTCTCTCCGGTCGTGCTAGTGACATCCAGATGATGATAGGAAGAGTAAAATCCAAAATGTTTACGGGTTTTGTGTCGTTACTAAATGTTTCCTAGCCGTTAAATTATCACGTATCTATCAGTTTAAACATTGTAATATTAATAACTAGTTCAAGCAACAATGCATAAAATGCACAAAAAGCGATATTTCTTTCTACAGAATCTAATATTCCATCGTCCATATACATGTGTGCACAGAAAAAAGCCAATATACTGAAATAAAGACAACACATTCTCATGCTTTAAATTTAGGGAGCAGCTGTTGTGCAAAATCCCATAAATTCCAAAAAGAAAAGCATCATGCACTTCGCTGTAAATTCTGTCAGTTGATTTTAACAGCAGTTAGTATTAGTGCAAATACTTTCATTGAATTTTCATGGTTTCAAAAAATCTCAAGTTTAGCGCCAAATAACACAAATCGATGTTTTGATTTAACGCTTAGTTATGTCTTGTGTCGCAGATACAGACGCTTAAAGGTTTGACTTTCTATCTACAGTACTTGGGCATGCTAGCCTCTTTCTCGTTTCTTTATATATCTATCACTATAAGCCTACTTTGTGGCTGAAATAGGTTCCCCTGTTCTGTTTCAGTCTATTATTATCTACATAGCTATTTTAGGATGTCCATATCTATCTCGCTAATCATGTCGCACCCACTCACTCACTCACTCACTCACTCACTCACTCACTCACTCACTCACGCACTCACTCACTCTCTCTCTATCTATCTATCTCCGTATAAATCTATCTATAATATTCAGTCTGTTTATATGTATCTATCGTTGTTTATATATATATATATATATATATATATATATATATATATATATATATATATATAATGTCTCTATCGTACTTGGAGGAGGGGAGCTTGGGAACACAAAGTTATTTCTTTCTTTCTTTCTTTCTTTTCTTTCTTTCTTTCTTTCTTTCTTTCTATCTATCTTTCTATCTATCTATCTATCTATCTATCTAAGTCTATTCATATCTATCTATCTATCTATCTATCTAAGTCTATTCATATCTATCTATCTATCTATCTATCTATCTATCTATCTATCTATCTATCTATCTGCTTAGAGGCTGAAATACTTTGGTATATCTTTAATGGTCCCACTTTCCATCCGTATATCTTCTTGTATATCTATATCTGATTGTCTCTCCTCTCCCCCTCTTTCCATCTGTTTCACCATATCTTCCTCTCATCAGCTCACTCGCTACTTTCGTTGATTACAGTAACCCTTCAAATGGCTAAGCATTTATAAATAAGACTATCAATAAACTAAACGTCTCTTCAGCGTTCATCCTAATGGCATATGATCGACTGTTTTATGAACGAATATATCAAATATATCGCTCTTGACATTTGTTTGGTCAGGCCGGTTAGCTACGATCGGCAGAATTAATCTGATAAAGTGCACTGTGCATATACATTATTAGTCTCTGTCCCACAGATGCGCGAACGCGTCACGACACACACTCGCGCATGCGCACACACACGCGCGTGCATGTGCATTCACACAGATTTACGAACGTATACGTTTAATCCTTTATTCATGCAATTTCATTATATCAACAATAATACAATCGCAAGCACATGAGAACGTATTGATATAAATATATATTCCCTGCACCAGGTAATTGAGAAAAAAATAATAATACATAGAAAAGCCATAATATTCAATAGGAAAAAAAATCAGTCACACAAACGAATCCGATAACCCATTGAAGTCGTAAGGGCAACACATTTACTGTGACCATAATAGAAGGGTCGTGTCCGGATAAAGATAACCTGACGAATCCTATCCCTCTTCAGGTTGATTCTGAATTCAGAGTTTTCCTTCTCCTTGACTGATTGCCACCTTAAGGCATGAGAGTCCAGCCTGGCCTTCTATTTAACACATAAAGGTTGGTGGATTCGTGCTTTTTTCCAGTGGTGTTAGAGGAAAGTGAACCAAAACAGAATCGAGCTTCAGGCTGTTTTTTATGCTAAAGAGTCATTCAAGGTAGAGGGATACTGGTGGTGTTTTATTAGCTGAAGAAAGAACAAGAAATGAACTTGGGGCTAGGCAGTAAACATAACAGTCAACCCTCGACTTGAAGAGATCAAGATTGAACCGATTGGGAAGATTTGAATTCAGAGTTTTCCTTCTCGTAGATGGATTGTCATCCCAAGGCAAGAGAGCCTAGTATGCCTTGCTATATTAACCCATAGTTAGAGGCAGGTGGGTTCATGCCTTTTCCCAAGGGTAGCGTGAACTGAATCGAACGGGAATGGAAATCGGCACTGTTAATTCACTTTTTGCGCCGATAATCGTTACATTATCCACGCCTTAAAAAGAATATATATATATATATATATATATATATATATATATATATATATATATATATATATATATATATATATTATTTATTTTAAAAAAACAGACCACTTTAAGGTTTCATTATAATAATTTATTTCACCAGAGCCCTTTTAAGGGACGCTGGATCATCAGATAACACTTCCAAAAATGAAATGAAAGATGAAATGAAAATTCACACTTTTTTATATATATATATATATATATATATATATATATATATATATATATATATATGCTGAACACGTGAGCTATGACGAAATTTGAAGGAAAACAGAAACAAAAGGTCACTTTTACCTAGAATTAGAAAGAAAGAACAGAACTTTCTAGGACACATAATGAGGAAAAAGGGATTGGAGAAATTAACACTCGCAGATTATTTTAAAGACAAACAGGACAAAGGATAGCAATAAATAACCGATTTAATGAGCTTGTGACAGAACAGGAAATAGAAATGATAATAAAACGACAAACACCGATAACAGCTACAAGGGGCATAAATTATGGAGAGCCATGATCGTTCACACCCTGAAGCGACACTGGCACATAGAGGAATATTAAAAGAAATTCTGCACGTTAAGTTACAACAAACCGAGCTTCAGCTGTGGGGACGGCTTCAATGCGGCCTCAGAAGCGATTACGTACATAACTGTGAAATAAATGAATAAATACAAGTGTGTCTGTAAATTTTAAATTAAATTTAAATTGATGTTAAAAATTAACGTGTTTTAGTGAAACCTATGTAACCCCTTTTAAGCAATATATGATAGCTATTAATACATTCAATTTAACTATCTCACTCCTTCGTGAACGTGATGTGAGAGTAATGAATAACGGCACGAAATGTGAATACGCATAGGTGAGTTCGAAATCCGGTTGGGTTCGTTACAGTCACTTAAACGTAATTCCTCTTGGGAAAGATATGAATCCATCTGCTCTATCTATGGGTTAAATAATAGGACACGTATCTGGCAAAATCATTGTTATTTAAAAAAAATAATTAATTCAATAATCCAAAAATAAGTTTCGGTTTTAACCCACAATGATCGATAAACCGTAAAAAACTGTCAGTCAATCAACCCTAATGAACGAATGTTAAGAAAACAATCTTTGAATGTTTTATTTTATTTGCAAACTATGTAGAAATTCGGTTATTCGAACACTGATTTTCTGGATTTCGGATACACGAAAGAATTTTTAAAGTTAATATTGAACGTTTTAATTTTATGACATTGTTTTGAGTATAAATCTGTTAAAAGAGTGAAAGAGCTTATTGATTTATTGGTGTCCCCATGACATTTACCCATACTAACTGTTCCCCCAGTACAAGACACAAGAGCCACCCAAGATAGGGGATTATTGAATAAGGTAGTTTTATGAATGCAAATGGAGGTAAGAAGTGCAGATTATTAGCATATGTAAGAAAGATAACGTTTTACACTAAAATCGAACAGAGGAAGATTGTAGTGATCGTAGATACATCCCCTCGGGAGTCTATTCTACAAAGTTGTGGTTCTGAAAAAGAAGTCGTCTCAGTGGAACTTCCTTCTTACTTATGGAATATGAAGGGAATGGGGATGATTCTCCACCCCTCCAGTTAACCTAGCATGACGGGTCTTAGCTGTGAAGGTCTGGACTGGTGGAATTATAAATGTAGCTTATCAGACCATTTTCCATGGAAATAGCGATGGAGTAGCGAGAAGGTGGCGACTTTTCGTCTGTGAGAAAGGGGTGGTAGTGCTGAAAATAATTCACCACCCACAAGGCCGTGTAGATGATTCTGAACTCTGTCAAGACTGGAAAGTAAGGTCAAGCCAAGATATGGTAGCAGTACTCCGTTATTTAGTAGTCTAACAGAGAACGGAAAGTGCGACACTAAGACTTATTATGATGGCCAAAGATGCATTCCAAAAGCTAAGCAGTGTATTAAGAGACAGAAAAATTTTGGTGGAAACAAAGAAAAAACTACTGGACTGTAGCGTGATATCTGTCATTCTGTATGGCAGCGAATGCTGGACAATCTCCTCGAAGTTTAAAAAGACACTCGAAGCAACGGAAATGTAGTTCCCAAAGAAGTATGCTAAGGATACCATGGGTCGAACATATGAGAAACGACGAGGTTTTCGAGAGAATGGAAACCAAATAGAAATTTATATTTAACATCAGGAAGAGGCAGTTTCTGGGGCACGTAATGAGGAAGAAGGGCTTGGAAAGTCTGTTACTCACAAGACTTTGAGGGAAAGAGACAGATGAAAGTAATGCGTAACATGCTAGATGACCTTGAGCAAACGGATGGCAAAACAAGATTTTGGGAGAAATAACAAAAAGACAAAACTTATTAAGAGCTACAACGGACAGGAAAATGTGGAGGCCCATGTTTGCCTACGTTCTGAAGGCACATAAAAGAAGATAGAATCGTCATGACTTTTTGTGAGAAATTGTGGTATGATTTTCCATTGTTCTCCCACACTTTTGAATCCAAAATTGTCATTCTCCTAGACTGACTGCACCGTTCAATCTGCTACTTAACCATAACTTGGGTGAGGGGATATGGATTCATGCCTTACCAAGAGCATCAGTGTGAAAGTAAAGGTAGTAGATATACAGGAAGCTGAATTCGGATCACTATTTCCTAAAAAGATAAAGAAGAGACTCGAATCGAAAAAGATGAGGTTCTACAGAAGGATGCTAAGGATATCATGAACAGAGCATTTGAGCAACGATGAGATCTTAGGGAGGTTACAAACAGGAAGGAGGCTTATACTTAATATCAGAAAGAGGAAGCTGAAGTTTCTGGGACACATAATGAGGAAGGAGGGCCTGGAGAATCTGATACTCGCGGGTCGAATAGAGGGAAAGCGAGGCAAGGGCAAAAAGCACGCGACATACCTGGCGGGCTTAAGCAAGTGGATGACAGAACGTGGTCTGGGGAAGGAAGCAGAGAGAAGGAAATTGTTGAGAGCTGCAAGAGATAGAGGGAAGTGGAGAACCATGATCGTCCTGAAGGGACATGGCACATAAAAAGAAAGATTCCACTCTACACGCCGATAATCGTCACACTACCCTCAAGAGATGGACAGAGTAAAGCAGTGTGTAACATACTTGATGGGCTTAGACAAATGGATGACAGAACAGGGTTTGGAAGGAATAACAAAAAGACAAAACTTATTAAGAGCTATAAAGGGACAGGAAGATGTGAAGAGACATGACCGCCTAAGTCCTGAAGGGACACAAAATATAAAAGAAGACTCCATTATGAAGAGAACGCAGTCGGTCGGTTTGATTATACTTGGACAATTTAAATAACTTTTCATTTCGAGGTGATAAGTCAGACACCAACATAATCTCTTGTGGTCCCATTAACGATGGCATCGACTGTTTGCCATTGTTCTTGTTCTGGTAAGACTAGATTGGTGCTGTTGATGCTTCTTCACCAAATGTTGTCGCTGTCAAAAAACAAAGAACAACAAGTGACAGCGACTGGATATTTTCCTCAACAAACAATGATCGATCAGCATCTCAATGAACTTTATTTACGTGAACTTAGCGTCTTCGATAAACCCAGTGCACTTCCTGTGCAACTATGTAAATGCATGTTCTTCTTTTTAAATAATGATGTTATGATTCCTTGAATTTTCAGTTCCATAATTTCAATATTTGAACGGCAGATAACATTATTTGTAAAATAAAATAGGAATATTCCGAGCTTTCACTCTTTTTTTTTTTATCGATTGAATAAAAGCAAGCGCTTGAAATCTTTCCTTTTCTAAAAATTTTCTATGGCTTGTTTT